GTGTCGGACATATGGGTTAATGTTGGACTTGTGGGCTTGGGCAGCACTGGGTTGGGATGTTTTCTTGATGTGCATTTAACCTTTATAGAAAACTCTCTTATACATGAGTTTCTGTGGATTTGTTTCTCTAATATACCCAAACTGACACAGCAGTCAACACCTTGCACTTTCCCCATGGAATTCCCGTGTTTCTTCAGCATGCCTCCCTTTAGGAACTGAAGAATGGCGGCCTGCTACCTCATCTTTACAGATGAGCAGGCTGTACTTTCATTCTCGCGCAACCTTCCCCACCATCATCCCAGGAGACAGGATGATCTTTTCACAGCTGAGAAATCCAAGCTTCTGAATGGTTTGAAGAGGCCCTGGTGGCGCGGTGGTTATGTATTCTGATGCTAACTGCACGGTCAGCATTTGAAATCATCCGCTGCTCCCAAGGAGAAAGATGAGGCTTTCTACTCCTACAATGAGCTGGATTCTTAAAAACCCACAGGGTCAGTTCTAGCCTGTCCTACAGGGTCACCATGAGTCGGACTTGACTCCACGGCAGGGAGTCACTGTTTGAAACTTCACCTAAGGAACCGGGCTGAGGTTTGGGCCTCAGTTGCCTAACTTCAAAGCAGATCCTCGTCATGCTTCCATAGAAGGGTGGCGGTTGAGTGTTTTTTAACTGTTTAGTGATTGCGTACTTTCTGGCTTGGAATAACATTTATAAATGACTGTTATTTATTCCCTTGTGACCTGAAATAAACGATCTCATCTTTCTGTGTCACTCTTTCCAGTGACTCAGGGTAAGACCTATTCTGCAATGATTGCTGTGAGGATCAAACACGAGTTACTTCTATAAAAGTCTAGTATACGGTCAACAGCAGGGCTCCCTTTCCTCAAAGCCCATGAAAGTGAGCTCCATGTTGGAGCAGGCACTGGATGCTACGAAGATGATACAAAGAACTCCATTTTCAGGGAGGAAAATGAGCCCCCAAGGTGGAAGGCTAGAGGAGCCCTGGTGGTGTAGTGGTGACGAGATGGGCTGTGAGCACTTCGAAACCACCAGCCGCTTCGTGTGAGAGAGATGAGGCTTTCTAGTCCCGTACAGAGGGGCAACTCTACCCCGTCCTATAGGGTCACTCTGAGTTGGCATGGACTCAATGCGGATGAGGTTGAAGGCAGGGAGCTCTGGTGGCTTTGTGCTCCTGTACAGAGTGACCGTCTCGGAGACCCGCAGTGGGCAGCTCTGCTCTGTTCCACAGGACCAGGCAGGGTTTTTCTCTGTCGAGTCGAAGCAGGATTGATGGCAACCAACCACCTTGATGGAATGACCGGTCTAGGTGGTGTGGATAGGTTCAACAATGCCCACACCCCTTGCCCTCCGGTCGGTAACCACTCACGGGCACAGTTCCAACCTCTAGAAGACAGTCCAACTACTCCTTAAGGCAGTGGTTCTCCACCTTCCTCATGCCAGACCCTTGCATACAGTTCCTCATGTGGTGGTGACCCCCCAACCATCACATTATTTTCGTGCTACTTCATACTGTCATTTTGCTACTGTGATGAATCGGCAGCGCGGACCCACAGGTTGAGAACAGCTGCCTTCAGGTGCGGGGGAGCCTCGTTTTTCGGGGATGGCCCTGCAGCCAGCGGCATCCAACTGGAAACCCAGCAGGAGGAAGGAGGGTAATGGAGCGAAGACGAAGGCCAGGAGGCAGGCCCGCTGCTGAAAGCAGGCTTTCCACGAGCAGGCAAACTTGAGTGGAGGAAAAAAAAAAAAAGACTACAGGGCGTTCACCAAATGCCTTCATCAACATTTCTCTAAAAGGCAGGGCACTCCAGAGGGACTCCTAGGTGCAAAGGCCAAAAACAAAGAGAGGGCTCTGTTTTGCTACAGGCCCAAGTGACCACATGCGGAGGAGGGTGCTAACCATGGCCACTGACGACAAGCAGTCCGGCCGGGTCCCTGAGCTACGTGTCCTACTAGGAGCAGGGGCTGGAGGAAGCAACATCT